CATGATTGGCAACGATAAAGATACTAGAAATCTGCAGGTAAGGGTACTTATGGATTAAAGGTCCCATCAGGAAAAGGATCCGAAGAATACAATAAATTATAGCCTGAGATGAGATAGATAACAGCAGAGTGTAATTTTGGTTCTTGTAAGCAAACACCAACAGGGGAAAATTGGGAAAGCAACGTCTGAAGCTCATCCCAATTACCCCTGAGGCCGCATATATTCCACTGTAAATAGGCCATGATTGACAACGATAAAGATACTAGAAATCCGCAGGTAAGGGTACTTACGGACTAGAGGGGTTAGAAAAGTCCACATGCGGTGGCAGCGGAAAATGTTCAAGCAGCGAAGGAACAGTGCGCAGTGAAGAAAGGAGTTGCGCAGATGGAGAAGAGGAAAGAGAAGGAACAGAGGGTGGATCAGTGTCCATTGATGGTTTGATCTCTGCAATATATTCAGAGAGTGCTTCAAGTGTCTCGGAGTTCAGAGACGTCATATGGGAGTCAATACTGGAGATGGAAGGAGGAGGAGTTTGAGTAAAGATCGGAACTGTAATGGACTGTAACAAGGTAGGGGGAGGTGAAAGGGTGGAGGGAACTGGAGAAGTGTGGGAGGGGACAGAAGAGGCAGAAACCTGGGAGGTGACAGAAGAGGAAGAAACTTGGGAGGGGACAGGGGAGGAAGGCACAGTACGAGGAGGAGGATGAACCTCCACACTTGTAACAGAGCCAGTGAAAGGGGAAGACCCAGGTACAGAGACCAGGAAGGTAAAATGTGGAGGTGGATGAAGGAAAGGAGGGGTTCAAGAAGATTTTATGGACTTCTGAGAAGAAGAGGGATGATTGGGAGGAGGTGTCTTACGAGGTCTTGTCAATACCGGGGTTTGAGGGAGAACACAAAGTTAGAACAGATTGAGGTGTTGAAGTAGGGACGTCTGAACCCAGGACAGCAATAGAATTAGATACAGGAGTGACTATGGGACTGGCAACCGCAGAGGAGGCTGCAGAAGATGGGACCCCAGAAGTGGGGGGACGTTTTGAAACACAAGAATAAGAAACACGGGGTAGTCTCCCTTGGAGGCGGAGATGAGAAACTGCCATAGCATAAGGGAGGCCTTCTGCCTCTTTGAGGCAACGAATTTCCCGCTCATTTAAGTAGACCTGGCAATGGCGAGAGTACGAAGGGTGAGCCTCATGACAATTAAGGCAAGAGGGAGGTCGACTGCAAGACATATTAGAATGGTCATCGGCACCACAGACTGGGCATTCGGCTATAGATCTGCAATATTTTGCTGAGTGGCCAAATCACCAGCAATTTCTACACTGTTGCGGTGTAGGGATCACCTTCCAAACTTGTAACCGATGTCCTGCTACATAAACAGAGGATGGGAGTTCACGGCTGTCAAAAGTTAAATGAGCCACATTGCAAAGGTATCGTCTCCGCCCGCGGGCAGGAAGAACACAAGTGTCTACCTTGAGAATTGGGAGATCTTGGAGTTTCAGCTGTTCGAGAATGGCATTGCCACATGTCTGGAAATTCTGTTGGACTATGGTATGGGGCAGAATAACAGTACCACTACAAGAATTGAGGGAATGATGTTTTTCGATAGTGATAGGAATAGTATCGATATGTGAAAGAAGAGAAAAGATCATGAGCTTTGGTAGAATTCTGAACTGTGATGATGCATTATTCATAACCACTCTTAAGAGCATGAAAGGAAATATCTCTACCAACCATGACGTAGGAAGCACTGTTTGCCAATACAGTGGAAGGAAGCTAGGTAGTAAAAAGTCGGTCTTAAAGTAAAGAATTTTAGTCCATTGTGTGGGTCCGAAACTGTGTGTGGGAGAGGAGGCATGACGTGTCGTCGTTTCTAGTAGAATGGACGGTAACAAAGTAACATCATCAGGAGATTGTCCGTGGTGTTTAGAAGTGGGACAAGAGCTTCCGATGAGGGACCGGCTGGCGATTCAAAAATCCCGCCGCACCATGAAGGACGAGGCTGGGAAGCATAGTCAAAGGATAGCGGAGGTCAACAATTAGAAGGAGTCAGTCCGAAACGCCTACAGCGTGATGATGGTTTGGGATGAGCGGCAAAACAGCACCAGCAAGGGAGGTTACACGGCCTTAGGAGTGCCAAAGAGTGGCCAAAAGACGAGGCGGGTCAGAACGGGGTGAGTAACAATAAGGGCCCGGGGGTAGTGGGGTCATGGATTGGGGACTCCCATGGTTAGGTTACATTCTTTCTTTTGTTTTTAAGAAAAAAAAAAAGAAAATAAAATATAAAAAATAAAAAAAAAGGGGAACGGGGGAGGGATCGTTCCTAGGAGGAATGAAAGGGCCAGAAATCTCCCTCTGAGCCCAAGAGGACCTCAGCACACAAGGTAGCACAGATAAGTATGGAAACCCATGCATACCCTAACCCTTCAATGCCAATAAACCAGCAATCTGGGATGCAAACCCACATCTGCCGAGCTCCCTCGTTGGACAAAGAGGGCAGCCAATATCAGCCACAAAGCACACCTCCTCGCCACCACCCCTGGAATCCAAAGTGGCTTCAGAGATACACCCAGTGCCCCGACAAGACACCCAAAGCCCACCCCTGGATACCGAAGGATCGGGATTCCCCAGCAAACTACGCCACCAGCCAAGAACCTCAACGGAATGGGATGGACCCCCCCCCGTAACCCTTTCCCCTTACCTGAACTAGCACACATGTGGGAATAATCCAAAGGCAAAAAAGGAAGGCCAAAAGGAGGGGAGGGGGAGGAGAGAGGAAAGGAAAAAGGGTGGGAATGGATAGGGAAGGGGGGATAGGAAGGTGGGATTGGGGGTAATTAGGTTTGGTCTGAGGACGGAGACTGACAGGTCTAATTCCTCAGACCAATAACTCTTCACTACGCCAAGGAGCCCCCCTTGAAGAGGTAACCTTTACATAGAAATAAATTTTATTTATTTATTTATTTATTTATTTTATTTATTTACAATCATAAGTTGACATTAAAATCACAATAAGCATAGATTCCAAAAAATAAAAGAGATACTGTTACAGTAAAAAGCAACAGCTAATTCTATAAAGAATGCACTTCAAAATGTCATTGCATTGAGTGGTGATGATGAAATTAAAACAAGATACAGGTAGTCCTTGAGCAAGAAGAGTACCTACTCCTTACAGGCTCAGCTACAGTGCCCCTTCTCTGAGTACATGCATACCTCATTAATACAGCTCAATTTAGAGAACTTCACTTGCTAATAGTATAGCACTTTGTAAGTGCTTTTGTAAGTGTATTTTTCGGGGTCTGAAATGGACTAATCTAATTTACATTATTCCTTATGGGAACAAATTCGTTCGGGAACGGCACTCAAAGAGCCTTCTGAAACGAATTATGGCCGAAACTCGGGGTACCACGGTACTACTGTATAGAAAGCCACTTGTTATGCAGAGCATTTTTTGAGCAAATTAGGTCAATGTCCCAGGATGCGATCCACACCAGTCGACTAACACCCAGGTACCCATTTTACTGATGAAGAACAGACAACCAGTGTAAGGAAACACGCCCAATGTTTCAACCCTCACCGGAAATCGAACCTGGACCCTCGCCGTGTGAAACGAGAGCTTTAGCCACCAGGCCACGGCACCTAGTGATATTGTGCACTTAATAAATTAAAGTGTAAAACATGGCTTTTAGGCTTTTATAATGCAATGCTATATAGCAGCAGTCTGAGACTAACCCGCCCATATTAGTGAGGTAGGCTACATTTCATTTTATATTCACGGGAAAGTGACCCCACCCTAAACCTGTAAAGTTATATAGCAATCTGGGGAAAGGGAGGCATTTAGGTTTGATATAAGAAATAGGAGGTTAAGACCAGTTCCTTAAAGGGCCCCCTACTTTCCTCTCAGTAAAGTACAGTATACTTGAGTACAATTTTAGTACAATAGTTATTTAGATACGTGAAATAAACTGAAGCCTCTAATGTTATGACAAGATATGAGGACTACTGTGTTATTATTATTATTCTATCACTAGAAAGTCAGAAACCTGTGATCAGTGACTAGAAAATATTTTAATTTCCATTAAGTTTCACGCATGGACTCATGTAAAATGCAGTATAAGTTTGTCACTATAAACAATGACTTAAAAACTACATGTTTACAATGTAGTGCCTGTGAGAGTTATGTACATATGAACAACTTCAGGAATTTTGCTGAGATTTTTTAAAAAAGATAAGTAATACATGTTTTATTTTAAAGATAAACACATACAAGATTTTCAGACTTCTTGAGATTCAGTATGCATATAGTAACTGAAATTACCCGCGCCGTAACCCCCACAGAAAGGCTGGTAATGATACCCCCATTTCCTGGCTGATACCTTGAATATGCAGATCCAGTCAGATTGTGGAGGCTATGTGGTCTGCAGCCCACTAGACCAGCCTGGTTAACTAGGGTAACAACTAAGCAAAGGAAACTTTCTACGCCGTCACCATCCGTAAGGTGAGATTAATAGTCATTCCCACTAAGACCAAGTGGAATAACAAGATGCTATTATTTTATTTAAATACTTACAATTTTTCAGGAGCTCCCATACCCATCTTTTGGACTCTCCTCTCAATTTCCTCCAAGTAAGCATATACTTTATTGGAAACAAGTTGTTTAGTGTCTGTTGCTGGTCTGTGCATTCTTCACACATCTTGCAAAGATGGCAGTCAATCATTCAAAATATTTTTCCTTCAGCCCCCTTGCTGCCATTCTTTTCTTTTCTGCTCCTAGTTCCATAAGAACAGTTTTTGAAGAGCAAAACCCATTAGGAGCAGAAATCCCAATATCTAGAGTCCCACCATTGAACTTCGCTTCAAATCTTTTTAGGCATCCATGGCTCAGGCTTCATGCAAGAGAGTAATCTCTTACAAGCCAAGAAAGTCTGGTGCTCATCAAGTACCCAGGTTTTTAATAATGATGCTCAATTCCCAGCAAAAAGAACACCCTCCACTCTCACCCCAGTACTTGTCAGGTATACTTGATCTGCTCCATAAGGGGTAAGAAAAGGTCTGTCTACCCCCTCAGGCCATTGTACTTTCATTACAGGGACCAGGTCAATACCAACATGGAGCAGTGGGTACTGCTTCCCTTGCCAAGCCAGACTCAGACTCACACCCACCTTGGTCCGTGTAACACCAGGTGGTACAAAACTCAGGCCATGGTCCTGTAGATGGTGATGCTCAAGACCCCTCAATACTGCTTCAAAGAATGTATTCTTCCAGTTAGACTTCTTTAACAAATACTTGAAACCTTTATTTTTTGTTTTAATTCTGACGCTTAAGCTATGACCTCGCTGCAGAGCACTTTTACCAGTTAGCTTTACCACTTTCACTTTCATAGCTGGCAGATCTTGGATGACATAATTTACATCATACTCATCAGGCCCATACAGACGAGTACCATCTGCAGAGCTCCCCAGAAGTTCAAGTTTCCCTTGGAATAGTGGATTTGTGCCAGATACTTTCCGCATGACAATGTTTAACTCTTTCATGACAGCTGACCGCACTTCTGCTGCCTCACCACAGGTGAAGTTTACTTCCTTGCTCTGTTGTAAAATATCAGTCAGATTCAAAGAATAAAAGTGGTGTTTTATAGCTTCAGTGCAATTGTTACCATGCCAGGGTTCTTTGTCTATTGAAGCACTTTCACTAATCTTCTGGTATAGCTGTAAATATTCAAGAAAATTAGTTCTCACTTCAGTGGGTGTATAGCCTGCCTTGCAGGTACATTCATCAAGATGGAAGGACAAATATTTAAAGGCCTGGACATGACCAAACATAGCAGCTAGGTGGGTTGGTAAGTGACCATAATTATCAGGACTGATGTGATTTGAGTCCATTATACTCAGGAAAAATGCAATGAGAGGTGTGTGTCCAAAGGCAGCAGCCTGGTGCAATGGGGTGGTGCCTGTAAGAGGGTCCACTATCACATTCATATCAACCTCACCTATTTTCACCAGCAAGAAGGCCATTTGCACCAGGCCCATCTGTGACACCAGTAGCAGTGACTGCAAAATGTAAGATTCTGCTATGCTAATTGATTCCTGTTGCCCTGAATTTTGTGACCTGCAGTAAATTTTGAAGAGCTTCCTCTGCAAATGTAGAACATTTGAAATTACATCCTTATCCTCCCTGTCTTTAGCTTTCTCTCTCTGGTGGGTCAAGAGCCTCCTTTCTTGATCAAACATCATCTGTAAACAAAGGAGTAAGCCTAATTTGTTAATAAGGTTCATCCATTAATTCAAGAAATTTTTTTTTAGTATAATATTACCACATCGCCGAATTCCCACCAAGGCTGGGTGTCGGAAAACAAAAAAACTTTCATCATCTCATTCACTCCAGCACTGTCTTGCCAGAAGGGTGCTTTACACTACACTTTATAAAACTGCAACATTAACACCCCTCCTTCAGAGTGGTAGACACCTGTACTTCCCATCTGCAGGACTCAAAGTCCCGGCCTCTGGTTTCCCTGAATTCCCGTCATAAAAATGTTTCTTTGCTCACACTCCAACAAGCACATCACGTATTAAAATCAGTTGTCTCCAATCACTCCTATCAAATACCCCCACCATGCTATGCTGAAAGTCCAAGCCCCTCCGCACACAAACCTCCTTAACCATCCTCCCTCCAGCCTTCTAGCTGACCCCTATCCCGACTTCCCCCACTATAGACCGATATAACTCTCTGAAGTCCCATTCTGTTTGTTCCATTCTCTCTACATGTCCAGAACCACCTCAACAACCCTTCCTCACCCTCTGGACAACAGTATTGGAAAATCCTGCACCTCCTCCTAATTTCCATCTATAATTCGCTGCATTATATTCACAGGGATGCCACTCGGGCTCACACCGAGCGTACGCGGCCCGGACACAACGACAATTGCGAGTCAACCTATGAAAAGCGAGTCCATGTTATTACGAAAATCCCCCTATGATGGTGGCGAAATTTTACGGATTGGCCTGAAACTATGAAAAGCGAGGGAACCACTGTATTTGGTTGACAAATGTGACATGCAGATTGGGCTTGCTATTGTGTTTTCGGTATGGAAATACCCAATGCGTTTGAGAGGGAGGGTGATCGCTTATAATAACAGCTCCTGCAACGAAGAAGATATATGCTCAAAGAAGAGATGTGTTGTTCCCTCTGCACAATCAAAACGACGGCAACAAAGACCAAAGACACTCGGTTTAATGGCGAGGAATGTATGAGGTAACCTCTGTGCATGGACCTTGTTTCAAAACTCCCATCAGCTGCAGCAATTCTAGAAACATGTCCAGTGACTGAACCTATGTAATATATAACAGAACATTAGTATTATACAACATTGTGCATGTTTATTTGTAGTAAACAAGACTGGTAAACAATAGATAATAAAAACATTAGTGGGTTATTGTGTTCATTACAGTGATTGTATATATTACATTTTCATACAGTAATTGGTCTCACTGGCCACAATGTTACTAGAAAAAGAAAAAAATAGAAAAGAAAAGAAAAAAGTATAAACAACTATAATAAAGAAAGCGATTTTGAGAAGTTGCTGATGTTGCGCCAGCTGGGCATTTTGGGTAAAACGTTCCTACCGCCTCTATATCTCGTAAAGTATCAATCAGAAATTTTTCTTTTGTTTTATTACCTCACAAAATATATCTTAATTCTGTAAAAAAAATATCATTTTTTTTTTTTTCAAAATTTCTTGCACATGGGCATCCCCATGAAATTTGCCTCTGGACCCTGAAAGGTTAAGTGAAGAAGGCTGTACTCTGAGAAATTATACTTATGTGTAACAGTACCCAAATAAACTTACACACTGGCTGGTGTGTGCAATACACAGTAAAATCAGGGGTACCGATTCTGCAGGGAGGATGAGCTCCACCACTCTTGTGCTGAATGCCCCACATGGTTTAGCTGCATAAACATGAATTAATCTAAATGGCTTAGTGTCTTGAAGATGCCACATTACAAAACGCAGCAGCAGCAAAACAGCGCGACCTTCCAAGCTCGCTACTTTTCTCCAACTATCAGAGCCACCGATGCACCTATGATGACTAGTTACAACACGCAAAACTGCACTACCCAACTAGCAACCCAGAATGACAAGATTAACCACAGTGAAACCTACAAAAAAAAAAATAATAGAGATCCAAAGAAGACTGTGCCCTCAAACTCAAAGCAACACCCCCCGGGCTTCCCGCTGAGCAACGAAACCCTAACTTTGTATAACTACAACTTCTTCTTAACTACAACAATTCTGTTGTATTATGAGTGCAATCCTCAGAGAAACAGCAACCAAGGGCCACAAGAACTACACCTAAAAATCAACTATTCAACAAGTGGTACCAGAGATGGCCGGCCCGCAACCACCCTCTCACCACTGCACAACGCGACACACAGACAATCAACAACAAACATGGCTGCCCCAGCCATCCAACCCCTCTCTTTCCCGAGTCAACCTACCAAGTTGTCTCTCAGGTATGACCAACGTTCCAGATTACCCTAAAAATCCAGCATCTCCACCTAGGTAATGAAAATATGAATCTTCGAGAGACCGCTAACAAACAAGACACTAGTGAACAACGCGAGAACAAAATCCTTAGTCTTGAACAAAAGGTTTTATCACACCAGGAATACTAACTATGGGCAAGACCATCCAAACAAGTCATAGATAGCCATGCAGAACAAATGAATATCTCTTATACAAAGGATGAAGAAGCAGTAACAGAATGGAAGAAAAACTTAATAACCAGTTCAGTGGACTAATTTGCTCTCCAAGAAGATAAAACTGAACAGGATAACTAACGGACCAAGTATAGTTTAACAGCCACTTTTTCCCAGTTGATGTGACCAAACGAACATAAAGAAATTACTCTGCAACATCAAGGACCAAACAAAAGTACAGTACCAGAGTCAGAAAATAAAGGAAGCCAGGTTACAGGACCCATGGTAGAAAAAATGTTATGCCTAGATTCCACTCACATACATAATAAAGAACTTAATAATTGCATCTATTAAAGTAAAGAAAGAGGTCAACTTAAATGAGTGTCCTACCAAAAAATGTCAGAACCTCCTGCACAGAGTCAGACACTTAAGCGGAGAATAATGACCAAACCACAATGAGTCACTACGGATGGAAAATCGAGTTAGGAAAAAATGAATGTAGGTCAACTGTACTCAATCACGAACGAGAATGATCTATCACGATTTCTCAGGAATACAATCTTTACAGAGATAACTAAACAATGTCCACCTTAAAGCCTACGTAGTGTAGTGTATGTTTTGTTCCATTATTGTTTCAACTTCATATACAATTCTCTTAGTAATTAAATAATCAACTACCATTTTGTGATTTTACTAGTAATGCAGAAGTTGCCTATGTAATTTTTTTATTTACTATTGTTTGCTTAAATATAGCGAATTGATACGTTTGTCCAATTACTACTCATATTTTTTTAAATACTATAATTGAAATTACATACTAATATTAATAATTTATTACCATTTTTACTATCAGTACAATTTTACTGCGTTTACCTGGAGAGTGGTTCGGGGTCCAATGCCCCCGCGGCCCGGTCTGTGATCCTGCCCTCCTGGTGTGATCACGCCTGATCACCAGGCTGTTGCTGCTGGCTGCACGCAACCATACGAGCCACAGCCCGTCTGATCAGGAACTACTTTAGTGATTGTCCAGTCCAGCTTGAAACTGCCAGGGCTGTTGGTAATCCCCATATGAGTGCTGAGGCTGTTTTGAACAGTCTTGGCCCCCGACACTTATTGTATTGGTCTCTTAACGTGCAGGACAAACCCTGCTTTTCATTGGGGGGAATGGTGCAATCGTCTGCCAAGTCTTTTGCTTTCAGTATGAGTTGGATTTTCGGTGCAATTCGTTACTAGTCCCGCAAGATTTCCAGGTGTAAATAATCATGTATCTCTCCCTCCTGCGTTCCAGGGAATACAGTTTAAAACCTCAGGCCGCTCCCAGAAATTGAGGGTGTTTATCTCCGTTATGCTCCCGAGAAAGTTCTCTGTAACATTTTCTAGGTCGCAATTTCACCTGCCTTGAAAGTGCTGTTAGAGTGCAGCATATTCAGCCTAGATAGAACAATGACCGAAGAGTGTCTTCAGGCTTGCCTCCCTATTTGAAGTTCTTCATTATCCAACCTGTCCATTTTCTAGCAGTTGCGATTGATACAATGTTATGTCCTTGAAGGTGAATCCACCGACAATAATTACACGCCCAGGTCTTTGACGTAGGTGTTCGCTCTATTTTGAGGCCAGAATTTGTTTTGTACTCTGATGAAGATTAATTTCCTCATGTTTACCATATCGAGTAATTGGAAATTTCTCATCGTGACTTCATATCGTTTTCCTGCAGCCCACGAAAGATTTGGTTGATGTCCCGCCTGGAGCCTTGCATGTCTGCAATGGAAACACTGTCAGGCATATGCGGGGTCTTCTGCAAAAAGGAGACAGATACGGGTGCTGTGCTGACACCTTGTCGATTTCGGATATGAGGATGAGAACAAGATGGAGCTAGTACTGAGCCTTATGTGGAACAGCTTTTCAACCGTAGCTGCCTCGACTTTACTTCTGTTGACGACTACTCTCTGTGTTCTGTAGTGAGGAAATTATAGATCCATCGACCGACTTTATGCCTGTTAGTCTTTAAGCGCACCATTTTGTGCGCTAGTACGCCATGGTCACCGTTTCGAAGGCTCTTGGCAAAGTGCTTATATATTACATCTGCTATTCTTTTGTCTTCTAGTGCATTAGGACCTGGTCGTAGTGATCCAGTAAGTTGAACAGACAGAGCGACCTGTTTCTAAACCCATGTTCCCTGGGTGGTACCTGATGGGTTTCAGATGGTGTGTATCTGGCTTCTTAGACCCTTTCAAAGAGTTTATGTATGGGATGGTTAGTGCTATTGTCTGTAGTTCTTTGCTGTTCTTTACCTGCCCCTTTGTGGATGGGCTATTGTCAGTTGTTTTTAGTAACTGAGGGACGCCACGTTCCATGCTCCCTCTCCATAGGATGGAAAAGGCTCGGATAGGGGCCTTCTGGCTAGTTCCTTGATGAACACAGATTCCATGAAGTCTGCCCTGGGGCAGAGTGCATGGCATGTCATTTATTTCGCCTTTCGAAGTCATTTGGCCGTCAGGATAACATCGGATAGGCTGGGTTAATCCAAATTTGTGGC